AAATGCAATAAAAATTAAAATTTTAATAAAAAATGCTCAGAGCCCCATTTTCCTAGCAAACCTCCCATATGTTAAATTAGATAAATGACATAATAAAGTATAAAAATATATTATTTTTTTATTTAAATAAAAAAAAACATAAACAGTGTTCATTTTAACTTATTAAAACATTTATTATTTATTGAGGGATAATATTATAATTACGAAAAGTAATATATTACTATATGACGATATATTTAAAAAAATTAAATAAAAATAAATAATAATAATAGGTTAATATCAAAAAAAAAAAAAATCCGACTTATTGAATTTTTCTAAATTATAATATCAATATTAATCTGACAATAATGATTGTAACTCTGCTAATACCCTTGACCTTTCATTCATATTAGAAGCATTTTCACCTAATATATGATCTATAACAAGTTCCAAATTTTTTCTAATAATATTTTTACAATGATTTTTCAATTGATTTGCTTTGCAATCTCTTGATAATTTTAAAGTATTACACACATTATTGATACCAATGTAGTTGCTATTTATAATAGAATTTTCCACAGAATTTTTGAGTGCTTCAACGTCGTAAATGTCAGTAGCTTTCAACAGACTCTCAAAAAAGTCTAAATAATAAGTTTCATAACTTTCTTGATTTTCAGATTTATAGTCGGATGGTATTTGTAAAACTGAGGCTATTGCGTCTTTAAAAGATTGTCCATGTAACCATTGAAGCAATACCCAAAACGCATCTGGTTGAATATCAATTATTGGAACCTCGACTTCGCTCCCTATTGATTCATTAAACCTACCTTCAAACATTTTTTCAAAATACCCTTCTGAAGCTATTGAAAATAGAGATTTGAAAAAAATTAATTGAAAACTTTACTCGTATATCAAAGAGCATAAAAAATCTTACCTGAAAGCACATATCTATTTGCTTTAAACTTTTGATCTCCAACGATAAAAGTGACATCATGATATCTATCAGATTTGTTCATAAACTTTTCCAGTAAACGATCACTCAACACTTTTTTCTGATCATGTTGCATTACACTTACTGGTATGATACTGGATACAAACTCTTTGGCACCGCAGGCAATTAACAAATCTTTGTAATCCGCCAAAAATTTATCAATTTTTAACATTCCTTGAATATCATGTGATAAACCAAATACAAGCTCCTTTCCTTCAACCCACTTTGTCTTATCAAATGGATCCTCTCCATTTAGTAATATTTTCTTAGGATTATTGGGATTTTTAATCTTCAATTTAACCAGAAATTCCTCATTTCGAACACGTCCATTCATAATTTTATAAATATTTTTGATTACGCTCCTTATTTCCTTAAAATCACTTCCCATTAATTCTATATTTTCAACGACATAAAACCAATGTTCTATAATATCTTCGGTAGAAGGAATTCCAATTTCTGGATGAAATTCACTGAATATGGTAAAATTGATGGGATCAATGCTTTCCTCAAATAATGGGCACCGAGTCCAACAAACTTTCTTATACTTGCGAGAACAAAGTGCTCCAAGAGTCTCAAACCCTAAAGTTTGTTTAGGGTTCTTATAAAATTGTGTAAAATTTCTTTCTGACGGGACGAACTTGATTCCTAGAATTCTCTTCCATTGTTCGTTGTTGAAATTTAAAGTTTCAATATGATCATACAAATATCGTACCAAGTAATTTGCTCGATCTTTAACCACGCCTGGAGGGAATTCGCCACTTTCAATCTGTGATTTAATTTCTACTGCGCATTCAATAAACGTTTGTTGATTCACTAGACGCTTAAGACCAATTCTTCCAAGAGCTTCTAAACAAACACGATTTTGCAATTCTAATGGTAAAAATTTGTCTTCATTTGCAAAAATCTTGTGGAATAGAGGTTCGTTCCTGTCATATAACTCATCGGCTCGTACAAAATCATTAAGTGATTTATTAGGTATCACCGTTCTGTTCCTAAAATATTGTTCAATTTCAGGATTTCCTAAAGATAGGACATTCTGCAAGAAAGGGATGTAATTCGGAGAATCCTGAGGTGTTTGATGTACTACTTCTTTTAATAGATGGTCTCTAACATACACCAATTCATTTATAAGATTGGCACCCAATTTAGTAAGAGCATTGAAATCTGAATCATGACCACATTTATAGAAGTCGGTAGTATTTTGAAATGCAAAAAATGGAAGTTTATATGGAAGAAGGATTCCTGTTGTGGCATCAATGAGTTCTTCAGAAGAATGTATCGGCCATATTGGTAAAGACTTTAAAATTTCCATAAAATTTGGTTGGGATTGTCCATGTTCTGTTAAGTAAAAGAATATAATTATATATAATTATACAGAAGATTATGACAACATTCTTAAACCTTTTCACTTGCCTGTTAAAAATTCAAGTTCATTTTTAATAAATGTTCTAAATGTTTCACAATTTTCAGTTGATAGATCACCATTTTCAAACAATTCTATCATGTCCAAACCAGACAATGAACACGTATTATTCAAAGCTTTTAGTATATTTATAGAAGTACAATTTACAATACATTTTCTGAGATTTTCATTGGCACTTTCAGGAAGTTTCAATTCTGTAAATCGTACTTTTAACTTTACTAATATTGGAAATAAGGTGTGCCCATTTTCGGGTATATATAAGAGTGGATTCGTCGGGTCAGGTCGAACAAGCATATTGGGAGGTTCAACCATTGACAATAGGGGAAAATTGGAAAGTCTGTCAAAATCTAAATCTACTGCGGTTTTAAATATATTCCAAATTTTTTCATACCAAAAATTATTTGGTATTGATTCTCCTTTGGGATCCCAAGGCAATTCTTCTGACATTGGTATTTCACTTTCTAGCAGTTCTAAAATACCGGAGATATCTAGCTTTTTAATGTGTGTAATTTCAGAAAACTCATCAAACTCATTACCATCAAAGATTTCCAATAGTGTATCTGGTATTTCTTTAGAGATAAATCTTGATGCACTTGATGGATATAATTCCATACATGTCTTATTCCCAATATAATGGACATTACCAAACTTTCCAATGGTACCATCACTCAACGGAACTAATTGTAGTCCTTTAAGAAGTCTATAAGTATTTTTATCTTTATCTTTAAGAATATAATTAAGCAATTCGAACAATGATTCGTGAGTTTGTTTCTTATTGTCAACATTGTCATTACCCCCGTGTTCATATATGTTAAATCTGGCTTTTTGTAATTCTTCGCAAACTAATTTTCCATTAAGAATTGTGTACTTGAAATTAATTTTTTTAGATCCAGTTTTAGCTTCCTCAATATGTTTGAGTTTTCCCTTATCAAGGATCACTACTGAAACCCCCAATTTTCCTAGTATATTTGCAATCGTTTTTGTGTTGTCATTTTCCTCAAGAAATTTGGCTGTTTGCAATGAGACAAATTGTCCACCTTTAGATTTAGTCCAGAAAAATTTTTGCTTACCAAGACCCAACTTGACAATGACATATAATCCATAATCTTTGTATAAGTTTGTATAATTCTTAATCGGCCAAAATGTATGCGGAACGAAATTTTGTTTGTCTCTCCTAAATCTAGCTTCTTCGCGCTTCACAACATCATCAAGAAGTTTAACATGTAAATCAGGCAAAACATTAAGCAAAATATATCGATTCCATTTTGCATCATCACAATCAGCTTGCAGAAAATCATTTCCTGACTGTAGAATATTGCTTCTTGCACTGGATAGCGAAAAATTACCATTTAAATGAACATTCAATTTCGTAGTTACCGATAGAGATAAATAAGAAAAAAATTCGCCATCGAGTTCAGGAAACTGTAAGCATAATTATAATCGATTTAATATATATAAATAATCAAAATTATAAATAATGATAAAAGAAACTATACCGTTTCAAATTTTGGTTCATCCAAAACTATTTCCTCAGATTTAGAAAGCAACATAGCAACTCCACCTCTTGGCTTTATTAAATGTACAAATAAGATTAGATTAATAATTACAAACTTAAATATCAATAAAATATACTTTATATTTACCTTGAGACCAATTTCCTTTGAAATTTGTTTAATTTCCTGTTTCAACTTAATATCCTCATGTCCACCTGTACATAAAAGCCATTCCTCTGAAGTGTTTAAAGCTTTCCTGTTATTCACATCTAGTTCAATAGTCAATTGATATGTTTGCATTTTATCAATTACACTTTTACGAATTTTGCGATCAAGATCTGAAATATCAATATTTGCTTCCCATATCTTATTAATGCTTTGATTTTTCATGTGAAAAAGACTACATGATTCTATATTCCTTAAAAAGAGCATCTCCTTGTTACCCCGGACTTCACTAAATACTTGCAAGATTTTTCTAATATCTACCGGTTTGTTTGAAATTTCACTTTTTCTCGCCGAATTAATTGTCCTAAGTGGAAGTCTAAAGAGTGTTCCTTTAAATTCCTTCGAAAGATCACAACCTTCTATCGCCTCGTAAGGGTAGCATTGATCCGAAAAACATTTCTTAAATTCCTTTTCTATAAAATTAATTCTAGTACCTCTACGCCTTCTGGGTGGGTATCCTTGTGCTGGAAGAAATTTCGCATTTGGATCTAAAAATGCAATATATTTTCCACTCACGATACTCGGTAAATCTGTAATGTGGAAGGCACAATTGAATCCTGTTCCGAATCTTCCAATTGTCTCTTCTTCATTGGATTTTGATCCCTTGCCAAGTTTAATCAACGACCGAAAGTCTCTATCAGTAAATTCAACGTCGTTATATATCCATAACGCAGGACCTTGCAGATCAACCATTTCTTGTGATAATAAAGAATTTTTAGAGGTATGTGTATTCCTTTCATCAACTATTACCGAAAATCGCTTTGCTTTAGCATCATCTGCATTCTACATTAAAGGAATCATAATAAAATTATTATTATACAATTATTATATTTAAAAAAAATGCTTAACAAGTTTCGTCACTTACTTGAAGAAATTCTTTAAACAATTGGGTTAATGAATATTCCTAATGGTGTAAAGACGATTTAATAAAATGCATAGCTGTTACAAATAAATAAACTAAAACATTAAAAATTAAATGATTACCTTAATAAGACCTTTTATTCTAGTAGTCAATGATTCTTCCTGCTCATATGTGTCCCAATCATCATCTCCTGCTTCGATACCTGCAATTTAATCAAGAACAGCATTTAGAGATTATTAATAAACAATATTAAATCGCACAACTATAAGATAGGATAATTACCATATATTTTTCCGGTTAATGTTTCTATATCCAATCCACTAGCAATATCCCGGGTCACAAGATGATGAGTAATGAAGTAATTATTTCTCTCAATTTCATCAATTTTATCACCTAAATCATCATATTGAATTTCATTTAATTTCACAAGTTTATTTTTTGTACTCGGAATTAATAACCCATCCAATACTTCTGGATCGTTTCTATCCCGTTTATTATCCCTTTGTTTCCTGGAAATTTGTTCAAGAATTTGAATGACCCTTTTTATCTCATCTATCAATAAAACTCTGTCCTTATTTCCTTCCACCGTACTTTTAATAATCAAAATCAAGTCTTTAACTCCAATTTCGTCTCGTACTCCCATATCTTTAAAAAAAGTCTTATAATTGCTTGTATATTCTATAGGAAGCTCAACGATTAAGGAATCCTTATCCTTAAATTCACCAAAAAGACGAAAAACAACCTTATCAGCCGAATAAAATTTGTTTCCGCACAAAATCCACGATTTGTTTTCTAAATATCTCTTCATATTATTGAATTCAGCATTATTTTTTGCTTCAAAAATGTTTTTGCTCATATGTTTATAAATCTCGTCACAAACAGTTTTTAACTCCTCTGGCGGCTGTCTGTTCGCCACACTATCGCAGCAAAATTTCAATTGACCTAGAACCATATTAACACTGGGATGGGTATCCCATCCTATGCGCTTTGTAAATTCGCGATTCTTAACACTATAATCCAGAATTGGTGCAATAAAGCAAACTAAATTTTTGTTTCTTTTGGGATAACAATCTCTAGGTTTCGAAAAGATTTCGTTTCGAGATTTATCAACCGTAGGGATCCATTTTTCATTTAAAATAATATACATTACGTGATCATTTATGGAAAGCTGACTCCACTTATCATCAATATATTTCAAAAGTTTAAGCGCATATTGACGAATAATAACGTCATTAAACTTGGAACTTCGCGCTACGTTACTTTTGATCCGAGAAATTATATCTTCAGGAGAAAGAATATTTTTAAGTCCCAATGATTTCAGATTCGAAAAGAACTTTCCAGATCCATATTTGCCAGCTGGAAAGAATTGCTCGTCGTTAAAAAACAGATTAACCAATGAATCTTCTTCGGGGTTGAACAGTTCCATTGGTTTCGCTAATTTTAAGTTATTAGGCAATTGTTGTCGTCGTGACATGTCAATTGTACCGACGGGTACAAAGGGAATTTTTCTGAGAAAGTCTTTTAACTCAGAATGACGATAAAGTAAATTAGGTAAATTATCAAAAAGTTTGTCGATTACATTATCCCTATCTCCTTGTTGTTGTGATCCGAGAAATGGGATTACATAATTTCGCCAATAATCATATGATTCTAATCGAGGAATTTTGATAATAACTTCCAGTATATAACATAAATTCTGTGAACTTGCATTTAAAAATCTTCCCCTATTACTCGGATAAATAATTTTACCATATGAATTTTCTTCATTCTTTGGAAGGAGGAAGAAATTTGCATTTCCGGATAATAATGAAATAGGGGAACTTTGATCAATTATTGTAAAAATCGGAAGATGCTTAATAACAACAATTTGTTCCGGCGCAAGTTCATTTGTAAGGCGTAAATGATTAGTTAAATGATCAATAAGCGTTAATGCTTCACGAGGTTGTAAATCGTGTTCAAAATTCCTTGGATATGAAGCTGACGCACGGAATGAACCTAGGACCGACACAATATCATTTGGATTAATAATATATGAAGATACACTAATAATAATAAACAAAAGAACAGATTTTTAGTTAATTTAAAATATCGTATGATAATAGATGAAAATTCATGAAAAATTACCCATTCCGTCCAGCAACTTTTTCAAAATGTTTGTTAACAAAAACGGCACCAAATTTTTCGAAAATAGAATTCAATGACGTTTGATTAGAAAAAATTCTTTGAGGAGTTTTTAGCATTCTAAGAGTAGAGCGGCTCGTTGGAATTAAATGAACGTCTTCAAACTTTTTCAAATCCCATCGCCTATAACTTAAGTTATCCCATAATTTATAAATCCATTCACAATGATCTATCTCTTCGGATTTTACATTTTTTGAATTCAGTGTGAATCTAATCATATCAGCAACGGCAAATTCATCCAAGATTTTAATGTTTAAACTCCAACCGGCATTTGCAAATGCGTACAAACGGTCATATAATTCATGGTTAATTGATCTATCAATGAATTTACTCAGTTGATTATTGAAAACATTAAATTCATCTTTATCATTACTATGTCGATTATAAGAAACAATATATACAAGAGAATTGACGGACTGCGACAATGTACCAAATGTACCATCCGCGAGTGGAATCATTTTAAAATTTACTAATTCGTCAAACTTTTCGTCCTTTAATATATACCCAAATAATTTCAGGACTTCTTCTCTTGCTATTGTGCCTTGCCATCTACCAAGATTATGTTTTAAATAATCACGAAGTTTAGCAGGAGAAAAAATTTTGCGAGAATCTTTATGTTTGGATTTTTTCAAGGCTTCGGTAATATAAAAATTTGCTGAAATGATAGGAAATCCAACGCTTCCAACTGTAGATAAATCAATATACAACTTATCATGTTCCAAATAACCATTAGCAAGTGATAACCAATGAAATTCGGATTTTTGGAATGAGGATGCATCGTATGAATCTTCTGAAACTCCAGATACTTTTCCAATGGCATTATTTAATGAAGGCGGCCCTCTGAATACACGATCATTAACGCTAAGTTGTTCTATAACATTTTGCAATAGATTCTTGCAAAAGTGATTCATGGTACCTGATGGACCTGATGTACTTCCTTTGATTATTGGCCAGAATTTATATAGATGATCTGACGGAATGTTATCAACCTTATGCAGGAGCTCACGAAGGAACTTTACCCAAGCTTTAGGTAAGACCTTATCAAATAAATATTGATTCCATGAAACCTTCAGGCGTGCTAATGCATCAGGCGCCTATAGTTTAATTCATAATTAATATACCTTCATTAACGTTTAAAAATCAATATAAAAGATTAAAATTGATTATTTACCAAGTCTTCATTATCCGCGGGCGCCCATAGAGAGCGTCGATTAGTACTAACCTGTTAAAATATTTAAAATTTTGTGCTGTTAGTGTTATAATATAACGATAGATAAATTTCGAATCAATCTTACCGCAAAATATCCATGCACGGAAACAAGGAAAGGCATAGAAATGGGAAGAGGTAAAAAACAAAATAATCTTCCGGTCGATTCTAAATTCTTTAAGGGAACGGCTAATCCTACATTAGGGATGAACTTGTGCTCTCCTATACTTTTCGAGAAAGTCTTTTGATAATAACTTTCTGCTTCAAGCAAATTATCAAGATAGTTCAAAATTAACCATTGGTCGCTTTCCTCCTCCTGAACCCCTCTTTTACGACAGAATGATGCAACATAAGATGATTCCAATTGTTTGATGTCGCTATGGTGTCCCGAAATTAATGATTCCATCATTGGTACAATGCTCTCAACAATCAAACGACGTTGTTCTCGAACTTGGGCGGCATTTTCCAATTTGATTTCATATAGTAAATCAGGTTCAGTAGCACCTTTCTTTAATTCATAAAAAGTAATTTTCTCAACATATTTTAAAAACAATAGGCAATTAATACTTTCTTTTTCGTAAAATATACGAAACATATCCAAGACTTCTTCAGGTTCATAAATTTTTTTATAAATTTCTGAATCCCGAGAATCCTCTTTAGTACGTAAAGGATAACGAAACATAGTGCCATTAAACCTCTTAAATGAACCGTCGAACGAGATTCCTAAGGATGAAATTTTAAAAGGAGCAAGTTGATCAGGGAAATCTTCGACCAAATTCTCTTTTACAATGTCGAATTCAACTCCACCATCAAAATACCATTCATGTGGGTCAAGAATAACATATGTATCACCGGTAATGAAGGATGGAGAGTCTGTAACATGATAAATCGAATTGAAACCGACACCCATAACTAAATTTGTTTTAAAAATAGGTAAAAAAAAAAAAAAAAAAAAGGAGACATTAGAATGTAAATAATGTCATTACTACGTAATATGCAGGGAAAAGCTTACCTCCAATTTTATCAAATTGATCGCGTTTTTCACTATTTGCCAAACTTAACAAAGATTGAAAATCTCTTTTTTCAAAAACGGTATTATTTTTCGCTAATAAAGCAGGACCCTGGTATCTATCAAGTTTCAAGTCGGAATTATGATAATTGTCTACATCCGGCTCTAATAAGCTATCCGTTGAATAAGAATTATGATCCAAAATGAAAATTTGCTCAGTACTCTTGGAATCATCAGAATTTTGAAGAATTTCACGAAGGACTTGTGGACCATCAGGATATTCAACAAGAATTTTATTCAGTCTATTAGTATAACGTTCTGACGGTTTAAATCCTCTTCCTCGTTTTTTCGGGGCATTTGTCTTTCTAACCATCTTTACGCTTTTTAATGAGTTTCAGTTATGTTAAATTTATTGTGCAGGATTAGAAAGAAGGATGGGATTTGAGGATAACCGACTTGAGATATCCAATTTATAGGGTTTAAAATATGTAACGCAAACATTTTGCCGCCATAATAAACAAAAATTGGTTAAACTTTTACTACAAATATTGAAATGGAAATTTTCTTTTTAATAAGAGTACAAAACAAAATTGAACTGTGGAAACATATTCCGGGTTGTGTAATAATTTGATAACGAAATTGAGTTAGTTTAATTTTAATGTAAGGTTATTGTATCTGAAAAAGGTTATTCAGGAGCTTATGATAATAATATTGTGGAAAGGATAGCAAAATTTCCTTTTTAGTCGAACAAGATATTAGTTTCTGGTGATCCAATAAATCAAATTTAACAAAGTGAAAAGGTTACCCTGGAAAATAAATGTCCACGGATCGTTTTTCGATAAGATAGATAAGAAAACAAATAGCAGAAAAGGCAATTCAAAAAAAGCCATTTATTTTATGAATACAGACTAACTCGAACGACTACATAAGAGATGAAAAAAAATACTTGTGTGCTTTGTTTAGAATAATAGAAATAAACGATGATACAGGGGAATAAATAAGCAAATTGTAATTTTTTTAAAAAAAAATAGTAATAATAAAATAAAAGGGGCTATATTCTGTATTTTAAAAAATATTACTTACTGTATATGCAAATTTGATTAATTTTACCTAATTTCGTAACAAATTATTTGTTTTACCACAAGCAAAATTGCCAATTTCAATTTTCCGCAATAAATTGCGCAGGATTTGTTTAATGGCTTATGAAAAATACAAACGTGGGCTTATGGAGATTTTTTTTTAACGATGTAAATGAAAATTAATGCTACTTGCCGAAACTCAAGTTTTATATTAATTAATAAACACATTGCTAATATTACTGGCCCGCATAAATAATAAAATTTAAACGATGACCAGTAGTTTATTCAATCATATCTGAAATTTAAATTTTTTGTTTCATAACTGCACAGAACAATATAAACTTTGTTCTCTTCGAATTAAAATCCTTAATTACTTATTTATTTACGAATAAAAACGAACATCTTTTTTTCATATATTGAAATATATCGTTAAAATACAATTTTAACAAATATAAGTTTTCAGGAATTAGTTATCAAAATAAAAAAAATGGGATTGGTAAAAAATATTATAAATTTTTTTATAATCTTGGTCTAATCTTAACTAACAATTCGGGACAAGTGGTTAAAGCTGTTGACACGGTTTTTAAAGGAGATTTCTTATCTACCAAATCAACTTCATACTTTCTATAAATTAAAGCCATTAAACATATCAATTCAATCATTGCCAACTTTCTTCCCGGACAAATCCTTAAACCTCCACCAAACATGATAAAAGAATATTTCTTTGGTTCAAAACCTTTAACCATCCATCTATCAGGATTAAATTTTTCAGGTTCTTCCCAATAATCATTATGTTTGTGAATAGAGACAGCATTTATATGAAATATTGTGCCAGCCGGCCAATTATAACCCGCTACTTCATCAGGTTCTTGACTGTATCTCACCATCATATTAGCAACCGGAAGAACACGATCAACTTCTTTTATAATCGCTTCACAGTATTTGAGTTTATGAAAATCGTCTTCAGTGATTGGACGTTCCCTGTCACCTTGGAATATTTCATCAATTTCTTTTAACATTTTCTTCTTCACATCCGGATTGTGATCGAGATGATAGACAATGAATGATATCATATTTGCGGTCTATAAAATTAATATTAAGGTAAATAAATGAAAAACTTTTTTTAAAAAGGTGACATATATATTTTTTGAAACTCTTGCTCACCGTGTCAGTTCCTCCAAGAAATCCGTCGAACATTATACCACGAATTTCGGTATCATTCATGGGTCTGCCCATGGATTCACCCTCGACAGTTTTAATTTGATTAATATCTCGAGGAGTATTCGCAGTGATCACCGAGGTTAACATATCATGTGGTAAAGGTTTATCCAATGATGTATTTTCAATTTCTTGTCTGCGCCTCTTAATAATGACGTCTAACCTTTGATATATAAATTCGATATTTTTAAGTAAAGCATTCGAAACTCTATTAAGATGTGGAGCGTAATGTCGTAAGATATAAGGAATGAAAATAAATATGGGTAAACCTAAAATGTGTGTGCGAAATGCTTTAACGAATTTTTCGGAATCATCAATTATCGATTGTGGGTGTTCTGCTTTTTCATCACTTTGAGTATTAAAATATGCGGCCATTGTATAAGATCTTTCACCAGTTGTCAACGCGATGATCATATCGTTTGTATATCGATTCAACCAAGCAGAAAAATCCATTTTATTCTTCTCCTCTTTAATAATTTCTTCCTTAAGATATAACTTGTTCCAATAAGTTTCCAATTCATTAAAAAGTTTATTCGTCCAAACGATAGCTTCTTTGGAAAATTTCGGTGCTAAAATGGCTTGTGTAAAAAATTGACGATTATATCTCCATGATTTCAAATTATGATTTGCTAGTAATCCCCTTCCCATCATTCCTATTTCTTCTAACCCTTGAACGTAAGGAAATCTCATCATGTATTGACTTTTTGTTGAAGGCATCAAAATTTTTTCGACATATTCCGGTTTGCTTAAAACTATACGTCGAGTTCCCAAGTGAAACTCGAAAATGTCACCATGTTTCTTTTGATAATGTTCGAAAAATGTTTTGAAATTTCCTCGATGAATAAGTAAGAATTGAGGTAGGTTCCCAGTAAGAGGGAATGGGAATGGACCAGGTAAAGGATTAACTCGAGTAAAATATTTGTAATAATACTGCGCCACGTAGATCGCTAGGATGATACTTATCAATACGAAGTAATCATGAATTAAAAAATCTTTTAATAAATGATGAAGAGACATGCTTGTAAACGGAATTAATTTTTCTACTTGTATTTTGTGTTTTAATCGAGAGATTTTAAAGTGTTTAAAAGTGGTGTTAAACTCGGTGTGAAAATCCAAGATATTTATATTAAAAAAATTTTCAGGAATTGTCGACTTAAATTTATCCTTAATTTACACATGATCTGGTACAATCGGTTAAATTTCATTCCAGAAAAATTTATCCGAAAAAAAACCTTATCCTTTAAAATTTTTTCGGATAAATTTTTGCCGAAAATCATGATGGCCGTCGGTAAAATTCGGGTACATAAACTGTACTGAACGAAAGTGATTATATTTCATTGTATACTTTTTTGATTTTGTATAATTATTGTACAATGAAATATGATTGGTTGTAATTACTTTCGTACAGTACCGTACAGTTTATCTACCTATCCAAATTGGATTAGATATTGACTAAATATTACTTAATGATGATGATATATCATCATTACAGCCTTTTCCATAAGTAACGGGACACTCGGCAATGTTTAAGGTCATTATTTATTGCTAGTGGGTGTTACGAAACATATTGAACTTATGCTTTGTATAGTATAATTCATAATTCCATATTGCTCATAAGTTTAAACTATACTATTTATTAAATTGCTTCTTTTATACATTTTATTTTATGGGTAAACTTGATTATCTGCATTAGCGAAAAAAATTAAAAATTTTTGAAAACAAAAATAAATATTTATATAAATTGAATTCGTTTATGAATAAAAAAAGTTTACAGGGACATATGCGATTTATTTTATAGCCTTATAAATGGGAGAAGGAATATTTTTTAAAAAAAAATTCAAGCAATTAAACTATAATTTACCCTTTTGTAACCAAAACTTTAAAATAGTTCATTCATTAAATAAAAATACTTAATAAATATCCTTTAAAATATATCTTTAATTCTGATCACAAAGAGACGTATTTAGAAAGGGTTGTCTGTGTAATTTTCAATATAAAATTTTAACGTATTTATAATTATTAGTAATAATAATTTTTGACTAAAATTTTTTTAACAAAAATCCGCCTCCGACGTTCGGAACGGCGTTTTAATGTTAAAAAACAACAATTTTGTTGTTTTTTTTAACAAAAATCCGCCTCGCACGTTCGGATCGGCATTTTATTATAAAAAAAATTAAATTTTTATTATTAAATGCCGCATCAGACTTTCGGGGCGGCATTTTAATATAAAAAATTAATAAAAATTAATTTTTTTATTAATAAATGTCTTTCAGGCGGCATTTTAATATAAAAAATTATTAAAAATTAATTAATAAATGTCGCATACGACTTTCAGGCGGCATTTTAATATAAAAAATTAATAAAATTAATTTTTTTTATTAATAAATGCCGTATCCGACTTTCGGGCGGCATTTTAATATAAAAAATTGTTAAAAATTAATTTTTTTATTAATAAATGCCGCATCTTGGGAGGAGGTGTTCGAACACGTGACTAATCGATCGGCAATATTTTTATTTTTTATTCACGTGAATTATTCGTATTATGGCTGATCTTTTGACGTGACTCTGCATATCGCGCAGTTTATTTTTCCTAAGCCACCATAATGATCTTTTAAATACTTTTATTATGTGAAAAGAAATTTTTATGAAATATTTTTAGTATTTTTTGTAAAATCTGTTAGTAATTAAAATATTTCTTTCTTTTAAAGCTTTGTTAGTAAATATAATAATATAGTAAAGGTTTTTAGGAAATTTCTCCTTAGAGGGTTTTTTTTTAAATTCAGTTTTTTCAAAGATTATTTTTCTTTAAAGTTTTTTTCTTTGAAGCTTTTTTTTTAAAATTCCCTTTTTTTTTGGAGGTTGTTTTTCTTCAAAGTTTTTTTCTTTAAAGCTTTTTTTTTCTTCAGAGTTTTTTCCTTACAAATAACACTTGTAATTAGTTTAACATAAAATAACTTATATACACAAAATAACACTTTAAATTAGTGTTCACAAATAGTATCAGACTTTTCTATCAATTTCAAAGTTTTTTTTTTTTACCTTTGGATTTTTTTTCCTTTACAAAATAACTCCCTATATTAGTATTAGGACAAATCAATAATACTATTTGCTTCTAGTACAATAAACTTATCTATATCTGAAGTTTTAATTCCTAACCAAAGATATATGTGTCTTTCAATATTAATAATCTGTTTAAAGTTTCAATAGAAGAGTTTGATAAGGAGTGGAGGCCTCTTATTTCAAACATATAGACTGGATATAACCACAAAAATAATGTTAATGGTGATTCATGAAAGTATTTGTTTGTTACTTTAATAAATATAATAAATCAAGTATCTAAAAAAAAGGTATCTCTCACAATAAATGTCACATAATGAAAATTCAGCCAGCTAATATGTATTATACAAAAATCAAGATTTAATGTTACACTTCCAAAAAGAAAGTACAAATTGATTGATTTAAAGGCGAGTCTAATCATTCACATTCTCTAGAGGAAAGTGAAAAAATCAAGCATTCAAATGTTGTTTGAGATTTAGTTATACAAAAGACCTTAAAGAATTCTCTATCACCAGAAATCTTAAGCACAATAAAGGAATATACAACTAAAAACCTGGGTTTAAGAGAAAGTGTAAAAGAGTTGAGGTGTAGGGAAGTTGTAAATTTAAGATACAAAGTTCGCAGATCTCTTGATGTATATCTCATTAGCAATCCCAAATGAGAATTAGATATTTGGAATACTATTTCCTTTTTGAAAAAACAAGGATACTTGGTTGAATTTTATGAAGTTTCTTACCTATCTACCTATAGTTTTATTTTTATACATCCAAATTAGCTTAAAAACCTTACATAATATGGCTGGTTAACCCTTATAGATTTCACACACAAGACTAATAAATATAATTTCTACTTATTCATCTTATACATCCACAATTATTCTAGATATTGAGATATTAAAACCCACATTTTCATAAGTAATAAGGATTATATTACTATTACGCAAAACTTGAAGATAATTAGACGATTTGCACATAATTGGTGTCTAAAGTATTTTCTTTCTGACCAAAGTAATATAGAATCAAATAGCATTAAAATGGCTTTTCCAGGTCTTAAAAATGGTGAGTAAGAGTGTGATATTTTTTTTATAATCCATATAATACAAACTTAGATGAGAAGGATTTATGATAAAAAGACATAACAGAAAATGATTCATGTCATACAAAAAAAGACTAGAATCAGTTGTGAAGAACTTGTTCAATAAGCAATTAATAAATGCCAATTCCAATTATCAAATAATATATTATGTAAAGAATAGACGTCAATAGGCATTATAAGCGTGATAGCATTCTCCTCTTCTTTTACAGATTATCTCAATAAATGTATTAAAGTTCTATCATAGTGAATTAAAGAGAATAACCTTTCCACAATATGGTTTAATTGGTAAGTATATATTTTATTACAATTTTTATATTAATTTTAATAATAAATCAAATTTAATAAAATTTATTAGGTGCATTTCATAAGATAGTTGAACTTAATAATAAAAATATTCTGATTCAGAATGTGTTACCTTTGAATTTTACATCAAAAAAATTTCAGCTGTTGGTATTGATAATAAGATTTTTTAGGAAATTCATAAATTTCCATTTCCTATTCAACAAATGCTCATTAATAAATGTAATTCTATTGAATTACAATTAGAAAAAGGTAATGAAGCATCAGGTCTTACAACTCTAAGTTGTAATTATTCATTTTTTCATCAGTACTTGTTGCCTTGCTGTCATATACTTCATGAAAGTTTTTATGGTTTTACAAAACTTTTAACATCTGATATATAGGAAATTTTTTAGTAGATGTTTGATAAGGTTGGATTTGATATATATGTGCATAGCGAATTAGTTGAATTAGAGGTACCTAGGATGACTGAAGCTGAAAAGATAATGGAAAATCAACAGTGAGCTGTAAGTGAGTTAACAGAAAAAATACGTGATATATATTGTTATACAAGTCGATTATGAAATCTACCGACTGAAAAATAGACTTCAATACGTATAGTAAGGTTTTAGATATCTGAAGGATTAATGACTTAATTTAATAACTTTAAGAACTTATTTACATTAATAAAACTATTGAATTAACAATATATCAATTTATAAGTACAGGGAATGTTGAGTATATATAATTATAAATTGAGAATATGTATGATTGCTTTGAATACGATGGGAGAGCAATAATAATGGATTGGGTTTTAGGTTACGAGTTTAATAGATCAATGTTATAGGGATAATATTTGGTTTATTAATAAAATATAAGTGAATCAATACGATTTAATAAACTAAATAAACTCTTGTTGACAAACTTATCAATTTATGAATTTCACAATAAATTCTCTAATTAACTTTAATTAAAACTAAACTGAATTCAAATCTAACTGTCTCTAATTGTCTTTGACTATAATTAACTACCTCTAACTACAATAATTTCCTATCCTATTTATATAGAATATTTGATCTACTTCTATTACTAATTTAAGATAAAGTAAAACTATTAAAACTAAAGAAACATTGTAAACCTCATTAACTTAGTTAACTTCATTAACTAATTTAACTAAATAAACATAAGAAACTAAGTAAACTTAAATAACTATATAAACTTAGTTAATGACATTATCATCGTTTCTGAGGTTTCTGTCATTTTAATCGTCAAGCTGCAGCTTAAGAAATTATGACTTTCTTTAGTAGTAATTTGCAGAATTACAATAGCAATCACTCTTTTCGAATTATCTCCACTCCTATTAGTCTAATAACCTTATTTTTATATTCTCTTGATGAGACGGTTCTAATGATCATATTTCTATCGAAATGTAATCATTAAGTCGAAAGTTATTTCATTTAACAATATTAAAGGATTGAAGAAGAAAGTAATATAGAACAAACTAATGTATTTATCAACAAATTGAAAGGTCATTTAGAATCTGTTTTAAATAGACAAAATTAATAAATTTTTTTATTATGTATATA